CGACGCAGTAGAAAAAATATGTCGGAGAACGGAAGCGGAGTTAACGTTTCCTCAGGCGGGATACGCAACTCCGGGAAAGATATGGAAAAACCTCGTTCTTTCCCGGTCATTCTAGTTTTTCGCATACATGGCGATAGCGCTGCGGGTAGATTGCGCTGGCAACGATGGAAAGGAAACGAAGATGTCGACAGTGGAAGATTATGAGAAATAGCCGCGTGAATACTCTCGAAGATGACGGAAGATTCATCTGACTGTCGTGTAATTTGCACTTCGTAATTGTAGCATCCCAGGAAGAAGAGTTCCACACTCTACGTCGTGATGTGATCGTAATAAACGCAATTTAGTAATTCTCATATCCTGTCGCTTTAGATAGTAAGGCAAGAGTTCCGTATCTTTTTCTTTTAAGATATTCAGTGAAAGGTATTCATCTACCGAGGAATAAAAGAAGTCATCCATCTTCTCTAAAGAACTTTTCAGTGAATTTCCAAAGAACTTTCATAAAATTTGTCAGCTACATGCGGTCAGCTACATCGTCTCTTTTTAAAGCTGTATCTCGCGCAAGTGTAATTAGGTGGGAAGAAATGAAAGACGGCGAGATGTAAGGAGGCTGATATGTTTGCAGCGCAAAACTGCAAATGGATCGGCGGGCATGGCGAACCAGTAAAGACCAGTGCGGACAATTTGTATGTGGGCCACGAGAAAGTCACAGTGCGTACACTTTTTTCCACCTTCGAGATATATTCTCTTCTTTTACACTTTCGCAGGCGAATGATTGTGTGTGCTGCTTTTTTTTCAATTTATTATATTATCATAATCTTCCGATAAAAGAAATTCACTTTTAGAACCAAAGAGAATAATAAAGACAACTGAAGAATCTCGGGAAATTTTACAGTAAAATTCTTGAAATATATCTTGACATCTATAAAATATTCACTGGATGAAGGAGACCACGTTGTAAATCGCTCATTGAACATCGAACCTCGTAAATCAGACAGTTACGACATTTTGTCCGGCGCCGATGTGCGACTTGGCATGACGTCGATAGTTTGCAGCTGTTTCGATTAAGCTTCTGTGGAATCAGGAAGCATCGGTGAACGCTGCCGTACGCATCTATACGAAACGAACGATGCGATGACTTTCCACTCGGATTACAAAATGTGAAATGTGTGAGAGAAATATAGCGGCCTTACTACGAAAGACGGAGATAGCTTCAACCTGTACCGCCAACGTCTAATTTGTATTTCCTCTACCAAGCAACGTGATCATGAATTTGCTTCACGTAGAGATATTTAGAGATCTCAAATTGACTTATTTATGTCCAATAATGTCTTAGCCTCGAGATACATCGTGCTCTTCTCAGTTTTGTTTGTAATAAGCGAGCTTGGAGGAAGTGATCTTTGAAATACTTTGTACATGCCGCTATCTCATTTAAATTTCAAGATACTGAGCTAGAACGAGATCTCACCAGACATCTGTTAATTTCGATTTCTTCTGATTAGCAATTTAATAGACCGCTTACAATTTGCATTTCGCCGAAAGTATATTTATATAATTATTGATAGATTGTATCATCACATTACCATAAATGAGAAATTTATAACTATTTATATTATTCAAACAAACATATGTAAAAAAAACTGTAGATTCCAGAAATATAATCACAGAATATCATATTTTCTTTCTTAATATAATTCTCTATAAAGAAACACTTTGAAATAATAATCATATATAGCTTCTCTCTAATCAATCCATTTAATATTGCTATTGAATTCTAACACGTTTTTGCATTTATCAAGTGCAGCGAGTCTTCCAACAGACGCCGGGAAACAGGTGGTGTCGATAGAAAGCATTTTACAATTCCCGCTTCTTTAGAACGGATGAGGCGGATTTCGTGCGGAGGTGAAACGAGGCAACAGGCAAGGCCAAGGTAAAGGTAAAAGGTAAAAGGAGGGGCACGGGGAATGCGGGGCTGGAAGAGAAACCATGCGTGGCGAGCCGCGCAAAAGTCAACGAACCGAAATCGGCGTATACGCGATAACGCGCAATAATAAACACGCATGAACGATTTCCTCGGTAAATAAGTATTTCAATAAGTATGGTCCACATGGACCATAATATGGTTACATTCTCTTAATCGCGGAGACCTATACTTTGTAGTACCGTATTTTGGAGTTACGTGTACATTCTAGATACTCCTTTACAAAGTTCTCAAGGTGGTAAATCCGCTTCAGCGATTATGAATTTGCTCTCTGATAAGCGCGAGCGCGTTTATACATATTTATATACATATATTTCTTTATAACCAACGCGTGTGATAAATAATCGAGGAACGTACTTATGAAAATATATAGAAATTAATATTTTTAAAACTTTTTATTTATAGTTATATATACCAAACAGGTCTCCAATTTGATTTTTGCTGGAACGACAATTCGACTTATATTTTCTTGTCGTTAAAAATTTGAACACCTCGATAGGAATAATTGTATTTATGCAATGTATGCATAAAGATATACGTCATATTTATATCGCGTATGGTTTATCACAGGCAGAGGCAAACGGCCGCCGCATAACTTACAACACGCGCCGAGAATCTTCGTCGTACGCGAGTAAATGGAGTTAACGGTTGATTGCCTCTTACAAGATGCGCACAGAATCAATTTTAAATCTCGAGCTTTACGCCTGCTTCGCGTCACGCCATGTATTTCACCTGCTTAAAATGATATTGCAAATCATTGTTGTGACATGCTTCCATATTGAATAGTCATTCGCAGGCTATAATAATGCTGTAATATAAAATATGCAAGACACGCGTTTTTCATGTGAAAAATTACAATATTGCGACGGGAATGATGACTCGTTGAATTCCCTCCCAGAAACCGATTCTAAATTTGTCCGAGATGTTTTGCTTAGTAAAGCACGTCTTGCACATTTCTCCTTGGAAGAAACGCTACTTCCATGGCGATAGCTTTTTCTCTATTAGTGCGTTTCATGAATAACGCATCAGCACGACGAAGAGTGATACAATGCAGATCCCGCAGAATCAGAAAGTTGCACGTTTCGTCGAAACAACGAATTTGGGTGAGACACCGTTACGAACGGAAAAAAAAAGAGAATCTCGACTCTCAATTTTGCTCTCAAATAGGAAGCGGTGCACTCGCGATGTATGCGGATCATCATGCATGCCAACAGGATTTGCTTTATATCGCTCAATCCTACACGTAGAATTTGCCAAAAATACACGTCCTCCCGCGCTGCAAGCTACACACGTCGCAAGGTGAAACCGGCATAGCTGGTTTTGCGTGTCAAGTACAGTTGGTGAAATGCACGAAGGCACGGATCGAGCGTATCGTTCGTGGCCCTTCACTCGAGAAAATATATACGAGCATAACAGGTGCGGTAAGAGGCTGTCATCTATTGACAAGCTGCCGACCAACACCTACTCTCGTAAGCTTTCACGCATAAGCAAGAGAAATTAATGGCGGAAAATATGATAGTTTTTTCTTTTTCCTTTTTTTTTTTTGAAAGTAACTTGACAAAGTCTCGAGGATAATTTCAAAAAGTTGAATTTACAGCTTTATATAACGTGCAAGTGCTTTTCTTTAATATAAAAAAAAATCGTCCACGAGAGAAGTACTTTTGATTTTGTCCTCGATACATATTCATGATTGAGATACCGTATCAGGAGAAATCGTATCAGGTATGGTGGAAATGTGCACGTATATGTATGCTTGTGAGTTGGTATTCCAAACTGCGGCATCGGTACACGAGAGAATACGATCTGACGCGCGTCGTCGATCTTTGGAAAGCGTCTCAGCATATTTTCGCAGGCGAAACTACTGAAAGACTAATACGCATGCGATCTCGTTGACCCTCACCTAGCACGAGCCCACTTTCTTTCTTTTTCTGTTTTCCATTTAGCCTAAATCCTTTCTCAGCATCACGTTTAGAATCTAACGTAGATATTTTTTATACCTCGTTATCGATTGATTTCCTAAATCTTCTCAAATTGCTCCGATCTGATTATGATAAAAGGTTTAAAACAGAATTAGTAACTGAAAGCAATCTGTTAGAAATAAAATTTTGCGAGTTATGACGTATTGTAATTTTTTAAAGCAAGTTTTTGGATTAAATAAGATATAATATATATATTCTTATAAAAGTCTAAATGTTTGTTTAATCACGCTCTAAGAAACGGATGTCGTTTCTGCAAGCGGCGAAGCTCGCTCATCTTCGTGACAAGGATAATTATTGATTCGCGGAAGTGTTGGACGCGATGATTTGCACAACGTCCATTGAAGTACAGCTGTCATTTTCCCTTCGGAATTCTTTCGACGACTTCTTGACTGGCAAGCAAAAGTGCATTGACACGTCTCGGTCTGCGAGACGAAAGCGCTTTTCTGCGAGCGTCGCGTCATAAAGCGTCGTTGCGAGGAAAAAATGTGCGGTTGAGTGGTTATTCGCATTTAACATGTCGTAAGGATTTATAAGCTCCTCGAGAGTAGTAAAATTCTATTAGAAAGCGAATATTATACTCTCGTGGTCGGGAAAGAAATCGCGTACACAGAATATCAGGATTTCGTGAATAATAAAGTGATAAGATTATGAGACAACTAGTACATCACTGCTTTCTAACAGAATCTTCGAGTGTTATGTATACATCTTTTAATATGATACTCCTCATTACAGCCTTTTGATACATAAATCATTTATATAAGCCTCTATAAGCCGAACTTTATTTTATCGTATTTTTTTCATATTAACTAATTCTATGATCACACATCCCATCAGATTTATACGCCCTTCCTCTGATTTGATGCAAAGCGGTACCTTATTGATAAATATTTCAATGTCGTAACAAACTTTCTCGCAATAAATATTATTTGCCGCGGCTTTTATGATTGATGACATTTTCTCTGTTTTTAATAGTTTGTCTACTTTCTAAGTTGCATCGTAAGTTCAACAAAATTATGCGCACTTTCGAGAAAATATTGACTCACCTGGCTTTGACCAACTCGATAGGATGCGGGATCGACATCGACGGTGAGCAGCATGTCTTCGACGGCGCGACGTTCATCGGTGACAGGACTTCCGGGACGAGCGTTCACGTCGCTCGATAGTAGTCCGAATCGACGTCTAAACTCACCTAGGGCCATATGCTTCGGGAATCCAACTTTGTGTAGACGAATAGCGTCTATTATCTGGCTTCCGCGTATCTATTTACAAGCGTATAAAAAATGTAACGTTACATACGGTATCGAGAATCTTTGTTAGAAAGAAAAATTAGTAAAGTTATCGAAACTTCAAGAAAAAATATTTCTCTGCTATTTATGGGAGGTCTTTCTATAATAATTGTAAAGCTGAAATCTCTCCCAATAATTATAAACTTTCATTTTTAAATCTAGTAAAATGTTTTTACCTGCGATCGTAGAAGAGGCACATTAATGACGCTGTCCTCGCTCTGATTCGATTTCACGGAGAGAAGGCTTTTATTGTCGGTACAACCAGCATTGTGCTGAGGTAAAAGACAATGCACAAACTTCACGCGTGTTCTCCGTAATGTTTCCACGAGACCGTCCTGGAAACAATTCACGGTTGTGCTTTATTCCGCTTTGTAATGTCGGGGGCATACATACACCAGCGAGATAAACAAAGAACCGCAGTATTGTCCTTACTAGATAACGAGCGCAAAAAAGAAAACACGAAAACAAAACAAGGTAACAGCTAGCGATTTCAACACATATTTCTCCAAAAATTTCCAACATGCTGAACGTTTCGCAGAGCGAAGAAATGATGAATGTGCGTGAAAATGTCCACTAGCTAGTGTAACATTTACACGACCAATGTACGGCCTTGCGATAATGGAACTTGCGATAATAGTCTGATCTTTGACACCACGAGACGATTAATGACCTGTACCGACAAAAATAAATTTTCCATAGATGCCGCGATATTCAAAGACGCGAAGAGATCCGAGAATATTTGCAGCGGGAAAATTAATCATATCAATCATTCAACTCGTTTTCTCAGAAGAAGAAAAGAAAGTGCGAAAGTGCCAATTAAATACTCACTACAGTGAATTTCACTTGCAGGCAAATGTTCTTCCTTTTCACGGCCGTGAACGTTCTTCGTATGCTCGAGGCGCGTCTCAAGGATTGTGAGCCTTCGAGTCCCGGCATGGAACTGCATAGAGCGCCGGAAACACCGGCGCCCCGGGCACTTACAAACAGCTTGCTTACGTGTTCTCTATACATTTTATATAAAAATATAATAACAAACTTTATATATATATATAATTTGCAAATAAAAACTTTTGTATTAAATAGATATGTGATATGTTACCGTGTGCTTTCTTGAAGTATCGTAATGGCACTCTTAGAAACGGTATTTTCGCGCGTGGCCTTAAGCCAGCCGGTGGCAGTATAAAGCACGGGATTTGTTCCCAACAAGTGTTGCAAAACGAATTGATTGTTGCCCGGCGCTTTTCGTAAAAGCGTTTGGTAATCTGTAATAGAAATTATTTGTTACCCTTATTTTTCACATGTATGTAAAACTAAGAAATTAAATATATAAAATATTTGCGCAATTAACGCAAATGTAGATGCCGATGACGGGAAATTAATTTTACCTCGATCTCCGTAATGAGAGAATAGACGATCCAAGAAGGTTTCGTCGCTACCTCCAGGACACACAGTCTCCTCGTCCAGCAGCCAGAGTAATCCTTTCCGTTCCATCTGCCTGCTGCCGCTAAGATCGCTTTGACTAGTTCGCAACATCGTCGCGCTTTGCGAGCTTCCGCGATCCAGAAGAGAAACTAAACCTTGAGGTGATCCGATGCCGTCCTCGTCGTAATCGTCCTCGTAATCTACATCAATGCTCTCCTGGACGTATCTGATAAATTTTTACGAGTTAACTCTCATACAATGCTATTTGTGATAAATGATATATAAATAGTGATTGTAGTGATTGTCAAATTAAATTTAATAACATTATATAAATAAGATATTTTTCTTATTACAAAATCTATGAAGGAATTGAGAATAGAAATTTGAAAGTTTATATTCTTAGCATTTTACCTACCTATCCTTCGGAGCTATCAACGTAGTATGGTGAAACAGTAACTGCAGACGCTCCTGCAGATAATTGTGGCAAAGATCCTCGAAAGTTGCACCGGTTTGCCGGCCGCACGAAGCAGGGTTTTGAAAACCTGGCGAATCACACAGCAGCACAGATGAAACTGTATGTACAGCGGATGATATGGATCTAAAAAATGACAAGTGCATAGTATATAAATTCTGATAAAAAATTTAATTGAAATTGATTATGGAATTTATGGAATTGATTATTATGATTTTCATCATTAATCCTCTCCCAAACTTCTTGAGAATATATCTCAAGAATTATCAAGCTTCGCTTGCTTTTTTTTTTTTAATTCTTTGAGATAAGTCGAGTCGATCGACGAATCAAGATAAATCTTACAAAGGTAAAAACATTTTACGACGTTTGTAAAAAAATTATTTAGCGAGCATAATGAGAGAGTCCGCTAATTTATTTACTTGTTAATGAGAGCCGCGACGCAGTGGAAGACCTCGGAATAGAGTCCGACCAAAAGTCCCTCCAGCGCATCGAGTCCCGTGACGTCCTTGCCCTGCTCCGTCGGGCTGGGTGTTCTTAGAGCTGGTCTCGGAGTGCTTGGTGTTCCGGCGCCACCTCCATTAGACGAGAAGACCATTCGGCTCAACTCCTCGACGGTGGTGCCCAGCAGATTGGCGGCTTTCTCCGCGCATTCAACTCTGGCGAATTGCCACCTGCTCTGCGAACTAGTACCGGCCTTCACGGCGCCGGCACAGCTCAAGTGATAAATGCCGGCCAGCACCAGCCAGATGACCTTCTCGTCGGCCTCGGAGATGCCGAGTATCCTGAGCGCGGCGACGATGCGGTTAAACTCGACCATAGCTCGCTGCTTATCCTCGTGCTTCTGCAGCGGCGTGACAAAGGGATTATTCTCGGCGACTAGATTTGTAAGATGTAATTCTTTCCTCAATGCACCCTCCGCGCCCGCCAGCAGACGGTAAACGGCATGAAAGGTCGGATCCCCGTTAGCTCGTCGGCCTATCCTCGACTTCTCCAGTAACAGCACCTTGTGAGAAAAGAGAAAAATTTATCGCACGAAGATGCAAATGGCGAAAAGAAAAAGAAAAGTGTTTTCCTCACTTGCAGAGAGGCCGAGGCGATTTGACCCGACTGATCGAAGTCAAGGCTGAAGAGCTGCGTGAAACGCGTCGCGTTCGAATTCATATGCGTTCTACTATTTCCAAAGGCCTCGAGGACCGTGAAGAGCGCGTTTAGCTTCTCGATCGTCAAGATCTGTAAAAAAGAAATGATGCTCGTTCAGAAACGTTTCGTATTAAAAGCGTTTCGCGCGTTCTCGATGCTTCGACTCGCCTTGTTAACCGTGCCAGCAGCCAGTACGAGATAATGAAGAGCGTGTTTGAAGTTCGTAGTTTTCCCCGCTCCGCTACGTCCGAGGAAAACCAGGGAATGGTCCCTACGCGTCGCCAGCATTCCTCGGTAAGCCGACTGCGCTATCGCATAAATATGTGGTGGCATGTCCTCGCTTTTGCAACCTCGGAACATGTGCGCGACCTGAAGAGAGGGATAGCATTTTTATTTTAAACATAAAAATTCAATATTGATACGCAAAGTTCTTCAAAATATGTATAGATTCAAAATTTGACGAGCTTTTTAGTAAAAACTTACAAGCACGCACACAATAACTGATATAATTTTATAATTTAATTTTGTAATTTTATAATTTTATTATATAATTTAATTTACTGGAAACTACACTGAAAAATTTAAGTTAATCTAAAATTGAAGTAAAATTTCATAAGAGCAGCCTTGCCTTTTCCGAATAAATTGCCAATGGTGCAACCGGATTAATAACAATCATGCTGTCTCCCGCATACGTGTGTATCAAATTACTGGCGTAACGTTGTCTCAATGTATGGAGAACGGACGATTCACTCAGGAACCGCAACTGGGAAAGCTCCTCGGCTTTATCAAACTGGGGTGGATTAGCCTAAAGAGAAACGGTGCAAACGATAATGAATGAGTAACATGCAATTATTCGACTTGATCGGTTAAGAAGTTTAATATATTTAATAAGCATGTAGAACTGATTACAGAAAGTAATCGATCGCGCTACCTTCTCTACATCTTCCTCGTCCACGAGCAACTCCTCTCCAGAAATGGTCAATCGGATTCTCAGCTTTCCTGTGTCGGGATCGGCGGAACCGAACCTTGTTGCGGGAGTGAAACCTCCGCGGTGCAATAACCAGATCTTCTCGGAAGCTAGCCATGCTTGTTCTAGTGCCAACATAAAAATTCAATATTGATACGCAAAGTTCTTCAAAATATGTATAGATTCAAAATTTGACGAGTTTTTTAGTAAAAACTTATAATTTAATTTACTGGAAACTACACTGAAAAATTTAAGTTAATCTAAAATTGAAGTAAAATTTCATAAGAGCAGCCTTGCCTTTTCCGAATAAATTGCCAATGGTGCAACCGGATTAATAACAATCATGCTGTCTCCCGCATACGTGTGTATCAAATTACTGGCGTAACGTTGTCTCAATGTATGGAGAACGGACGATTCACTCAGGAACCGCAACTGGGAAAGCTCCTCGGCTTTATCAAACTGGGGTGGATTAGCCTAAAGAGAAACGGTGCAAACGATAATGAATGAGTAACATGCAATTATTCGACTTGATCGGTTAAGAAGTTTAATATATTTAATAAGCATGTAGAACTGATTACAGAAAGTAATCGATCGCGCTACCTTCTCTACATCTTCCTCGTCCACGAGCAACTCCTCTCCAGAAATGGTCAATCGGATTCTCAGCTTTCCTGTGTCGGGATCGGCGGAACCGAACCTTGTTGCGGGAGTGAAACCTCCGCGGTGCAATAACCAGATCTTCTCGGAAGCTAGCCATGCTTGTTCTAGTGCCAAATGTTCCTCCGATCGCGCCTGTAAAATATATAAAAAAACGAATAATTAGAATATATAAATTATTCAAAATTACAAGGTATTTTTCGAACAGCGTCACAGAATGGAAAAATATTCTTCATTGAATTGAAATTTAACTTTGCCTTAAGAAAAAAGAAGAACGTATTTCACACACACGCACACACACGCACACACGCACACACGCACACACACACACACACACACACACATATTGTCTTAAATATACTTTTTTGAGACATTCAAGAGATTCAGTAGATTCAAGAAATAAGATGCGATTGGAAGCTGTTAACTGGGATATCTTTTTTGTGCGGCGCGAAACGATTGGGAGTTTTATGGACAACGTTTTCCCACCAGCAAACTTGCTAAGCGCGACCTAGCGAGGACAGCGGACGCCTACGCCTACACGATAAGTTGAATCGGCAACGTCCTCGAGTATCCCGCTACCGGCGGCGATTAATCGCGATGGATCGTTATGAAATGTCTTATTGCGTGGCTACACAACGCGTTACGACGAACAAACTTGCGTACCATTAAGCGGCTGCTCATTAACATCGAAATGGCATTTGCTCGATCCTTTCTATTTCTATCTTTCCTCGTATCCTTCTATATCCCTCTTCAGGAATGACTATTATCTCGAGGGCACAAAAAAGCTTCATCAATTTGCCTATATCAAACAAAGTCTACGTATTGACGATTTTTATCGAATGTTATATATAATTGTGCCATATTGTCGATAATTTACAATTATAAGATATCGATTAAAATTATGTAACTGTCTTATATATACGATTTATTAAAGTACTGTTAAATCTATATACGCATATCAAAAGTTAAATGTATTCCGCGATTCTATTCTCTTGAAACAAGGCGTGAATCACACTGTGCGGCCGGTGCAGCTTTAAGCGGCTGCTCATTAACATCGAAATGGCATTTGCTCGATCCTTTCTATTTCTATCTTTCCTCGCGTATCCTTCTATATCCCTCTTCAGGAAAGACTATTATCTCGAGGGCACAAAAAAGCTTCATCAATTTGCCTATATCAAACAAAGTCTACGTATTGACGATTTTTATCGAATGTTATATATAATTGTGCCATATTGTCGATAATTTACAATTATAAGATATCGATTAAAATTATGTAACTGTCTTATATATACGATTTATTAAAGTACTGTTAAATCTATATACGCATATCAAAAGTTAAATGTATTCCGCGATTCTATTCTCTTGAAACAAGGCGTGAATCACACTGTGCGGCCGGTGCAGCTGCGAGTTCTCGTGTATCGATTTCCGCATCGAGCAACCGCGGCACGGTGACTCGTACGGTTCCATCGGGTAAGGACGATAGACACACATACAGTGAATTTCCTGGTACATAAATTATCATGCATTAGGTCTCAGCGCTCATTGGTAGCGCACAACGCGCCATTGTTTCATAGTAAACGCCGCTCCTTCAAAAGGCCTAAATGAGGGGATTGTTCGAATATTACGAGTCTGCCCTTTAAACTTGACGTTTCGCGCGCTCTCACGCGATAACAATTTATCAGAAATTTCCTGGATACGTTGAAGATACATATTACGCCCAAGATGACTGACGTCTCTATCTGTTTTATCGCGATCGATGAGACGGCGAAAGAAAAATATTTCTTGCATCTTATACTACCTCAAAACTATATATGTGTATATTTTTATAAATTACCGGAATTTTTTCAATTATTCTATTGACAAAGAATTATTTTTCATTGTTTCTTTTTCCAAAACGAGCAAATTTTAGCAGCCTAAATGAAAATGTCCGATTTTCTGCAAATCTTTCGCGAAATGTACCTTGTCAATTTGCGGCTTCACTCTATTTTTCAGAAGAACCTCGAGGCGCTTCATGCACTCTCCTTCATTCTTCGCACGATTACTTTCCGTGCCGCCTTTTATACTCTCGATTATATTCATTTCTACTGTTCCTTTTCCCCGTATTTTTCGCTTTATCTTTTTAGCCAAGGCGATTTCGAACAGCTCCTCCCACTCGATAATGTCCTGAATCGGTTTTGCGCATCTTTGATGACCCGGCCGACTTCGTCTCGATATCTTCTTCGAATTGTTGGTCCAGCTATTCTTAAAACCAAACATTCGAAGTCCATCGCCCACGCTCGGTACCCTCTGCTCTATTTCCGCCGTGATCCTGTGCCACTTGCGTTCCCTCGGTGTCCTGATGACGTTACTGTCGTCCCAGCCCTTCTCCATTCTCTTGATTCTATCATCCATGCATCCCGTGCGCAGCGTATCCGCCCAGTTCTCCTTCTTGACATTTTTGACAGCTCGCGGTAACGGCGAGCAACGATTGCTCCCGCGCGATCCTTTGATCCTCTCTTTGACGTCGGATCTGACGCTCGATGATCGATCAAAGTCGCGATTCGTATTGATCGGGCGATTATCCACGTAGCCGTTCTGCCAGATTTCGGACGAGTTCATGCTATCGCTATCGCTGTATTCCCACGAGCTCGTACTATTTCTGCTATGCTTTCTGCCGAATGCGAGGCCATTGCTCGAGACGCAGGATTTACTTTGCTTCGCGAGATCATCCCGCACCGATGATTTTGGAGACTTTTGCGAGGATACGCTTCGACGGATGTTCTGTTTGGCTATTCCGCTGGCGTGGGCCTTGCCCCTACAGGATCTGTGAAGGAGACGATGCGCACCGAGCGACATATTGTCGATCTCGTCCCTGTTGCGCGGCATCTTCAACATTGGTCGTTCTTCAAAGAAACGGATCCTACGCGCACTGTCACTTTCCCAACGCAATTATCACTCGGCGGTTCCTCTCTTTCTCTTTCTCTCTCTCCCGGTTTGCCGACTTTCCTAAGTTTGCTTGAGAATTCGCATGTGTGGAATTCTTTGTCGTCCGTTGAAAGTTTCTTCATTAGCGCCTCTCAGCGTAATGAAATCAAATTTCTTTGATATCAGTGATAACTATGAGAGACACTACTTCTGTCAAATATATTACTTAAATTATGATACGTTTTGCAGTATGAAAAATATGTAATATTTTATTTTTTAATCAATATTAACTTGTCATTTATAAATTTTCACTTTTACACTCGCAATTTCCTCATTATATGGCACATCGAAAGCAATCATTAGTAATATCGTTAATTATCCTCTTCAACTCAAAGTGTTTTAATTTATAAAAACGCAAATGTGATCGCCCGTTTTGCGAATTCTCTGATATGTCCCATTCGATTTCTGCTCAGGAGTGTTTCAGCGAACGACTCGCATTCGCGAAGAACCGAGACGCGACTTCCACCGCGAGTTCCTCTCATGGCTCATGGACGGCGGCGACGGTCACGAGGGACAGAACACGATCACGAGGAGCATCGCGGGTCTCTCTAGTGTCGACTGAGGCAACGCCGGTGCTCCGAGACAGAGACAGGTTTCTCTCTCTCTCTCTCTCTCTCTCTCTCTCTCTCTCTCTCTCTCTCTGGAGGAGAACGAGAGAGGCGTGTGCCCACGAGAGCCACCCGAGAGTTCTTTCTCTCCATCACGAAACGTAATTCTCCCGCTCGCTCACCACGTTCCTTCGTCCTCGTCTCTCGCCTCCGTCGTACAGGAGTCCCTTCTCCGTCCCTCCATCGACCGGCCGACCATACGTTCATTCGGTTACTTTAGACACGTCCTTCCTCCGCAATTTATATAGACGACAAACAGTCGGCTAGTAGGCCGATTTGTTTCCGCGGACGATTGCCGATCGAGGTGCGGTTAGCGAAACTTCGAAATCTGAATGACGTCTGACTTGACGTAAAAAAAATTGTCGCGACGTAACTCTCGTTAATGTTGTTTGAGGAATGTTTCGATAAAAAATAATACTAATTGTAAGCTCATAAAAATCGTGTGGTCTACTTTAAAATTCACAATTCTACGTTTAACTTATTATTCAAAATTTATTAGAATATTATTTTCAACATTCTTACATCTATATTTAGATGAATATTAATTTAAGGTCAAGTTATACGTATAATGATATAAATGCATCCATTATTTGATGTTAAAAAGTCCGCTGACTTATGTAAACGTGATGCGAGTGCAAACAAGAGTCATTTCTGAGAAATATTCGACTCAATCATTTGCTTCGAATATATGCAGCTACCGTTTATCGTGCAAAACTCTCGTAAGCGCTTTCGTAAGCTTTGAGCGAGAAGCAAAGGAAATGGAGCAATACAAAAGTGCTTATATATAGATTTCCTCAGAAGGGAGTTCTGTAGAGGCATGGAAAATCTATTATTTAAATGACTCTAGTCTTATTATATAAGACTGTAACAATTAATAGCAAATACAATAAGAACTCTTATATTCCTAATTTTATAAAGATTTTTCTCTTTGCATATTTTTTTTTAGATTCAAGTTTTACATCCAAAATTTATCGGATAAAATAACGCTACCATTATATTTTTATTTTATACATAATTATAGCATCATAATAAGAAAATAAATCTCAAAGAAAACATTCACGGACTGGTCACGTGTGACGCGTTAAGACGACGGCTTAATGCGTGCATCGCACGTGCTGAGAGAAACGCATTCGTGAAGATTCGAGGGAGCAACGAGCTGCTATTTTAAGAAACTCGTAACACGCGAGATTGCGTCCAACCAAAGCAAGTTTCCCGACATTACCACGCCAAACACACTATACAGAAAGACGTAATATAACGGCGAAGTCGGTGTTTAGCTCTTTGGGCTCCGAATATTGCCGCCACAGCCATATCGGCGGCAAGAATGTGGGCAAAAATTCTCGATGCACGATAATTCGCTTTTTGCATACGGCACAATATCCGATTATAAATATATGGAATACGGTACATTGACCGTAATAAGGCAATTAATAAGCTTTCTCTCTCTTTTCCTCCCTCTCTGTTCTCTTAGCATTTTTCTTTGTATCAGATAAAACTTGCAAAACTACTCGGAAGCAGAGATAATACCATGCAAGGACGTGTGATATTCAATCGGCTGTGAAA